GCGTATCCCCTCCCGCGTTGCCTTTCCTTAACTCTGTGTCAGTTCACTTCTGCAGAACGGGTGTGGCAAATATCTCAGTATGTTATAGTCATACTTCAGATTCAGCCTCTTTTCCGTTTACAAATAGGAAACTCTTCCTTAGAAAGTGTTCCTATTTATAAATGGAGAAGGTAGTGAATCTGACAACACTCTCGAAATAATATAAAATATTATTATCTCCTATTAAATTATCTCCAATATCCTCGGATTAGTGAATAAACATTGTTTTCTTGGAAATATGTTCAGCACAGCTTTTTGTGTTCTAAATATAGGCAACCTTCCAGGCATGTGTGCTACATTATTTTTCACGCTACCTTCGTAGATTATGAAATTCTGTACAAGATTCGAGAATTTCATAGGGAACATTGTATTATTTTCTTACGGTCACAAAGTAATAGACAAAGTAATGGTCGTTTTGAACTCAATATTTTTTTTTTATTTCATCAATGCTTGGGAGTCGTGTTTACATTTATGAAATAGAGTACGGAAATATAATCTTCGCTAAACTAATACTCTTATTTTTGATTGACAATGCTGTGTATATTTTTATTTAGTTTTTAAGTAGTACAAAGTAATAGTAGAATATTAATATTATAACTTTATAAAAAACAGTGTTTTAAGAATCTTGATTTATTGATTTGTATGATATGTTTCAAATTATTTGTCATTTCCTTAACTTACCATACGTATTGTCGAGAAAAATCCTAGTAAATTCAAGAATGACAACAAGGAGTTAAGTAGCCGCCGCAGCTTTATTGATCAAACCCGGGAGGAAGTGAAGGTAAGCGAAACAAAAATGTCAAGCTAAGATTCATGAATAATGGAATTGAAATCTTGTTAAAGTGATGTATTATTTTGCTTTCAGACTATGAAAGACAAGATGAATATCTCCAGAGGTAGAGATCGTGATCGCACCGCCCGGCAGGTAAATTATGTCTTAATTTTAATATCTCTATAATTCTGACAATTTTTTATGATCGTAAGAGAACCATAGAACCTAAAAATCAGCGGAATGACGGCTTCATTTCGCCATTTACTCAGGGTCTCGCGAAAAAGAAAATCGTGTGAAGTTTTTTGTACTTCTTTTTTGTTGAAAAAATTATGCAGATGTATGCCAGCACTGTCTTAAGCATACGTTAACTTCATTGGCAGTTTATTTCGCTGTTTCTTTTTTCTTTATTCAGTGCATGAATACTGCTTAAATTAATGGAATATGGTTCTGTGGTTGAAACAGCATTTCTCGCATTGTAATGTGTAATTGCACATGGGGTCTGATTCTGCGAGAACGTTCTTTGCATTAAATTATAGTTCGTTAATTTCTTATATTATACCGTAAAACTGTAGCCTTATCTGTGATACTAATTGCATTGCAAAACTCATTATTACGTTTCACACTACTTTAACTCTGATATACCGAGTGAGTTACTTCACATGGAAACAAAAAAACTAGCATGTTCCTCATATTAGAAACTGTTAATTTCTCTATGTTTTTAATCTCAAGGAAAGATTTTCGTAGAGAGTGTTTTTTGTTGTTGTGTGTTTTATTTGCCAATTTCCGTAATCTGTACTGTTGCCCTCCGGAACATTGAACGCATCTCCGTGACGCGAAGCTCTGCTGTACACTCAGCAGGTCATACGCGAGCACCAAGTGCGCGGCCGTTCTGACGGTCGCGTTCGTTCGCAAGGGCTGCGCGAGACACAAAGTTGTGGTATTGTGCACATACATTTCGTCACTTCACGCATTAGCTATTTTCGTCATTTATATAAAGAAAGATGTACATTTTTTTCGGCAATACTTAGATAATCCTATGTGCTTCGACTTAAATATAGCGCTACCTTTTGGATGTTACAAAAGAAAAAATCGTCAAGAATCTACGTCAGACAAAAATACAAACCATTCAAAATAAATTTTTGCGTAGAATTCTAAAAGCTGTATGGTTCATCTCCATC